TATTACGCAAGTTTTTAAAAATAATAAAAAATAATAATAATAAATTATATTTAATAAATAAATTAATTAATTAATAAATTTATAATACCTTTTAAAATGAATAAGACATGGTTAAGTGAAATTCCTAATCTTTATTAAGGTTTAAATCATAAAGTGCTAAATCCAAACTCTTAGTTTGTGCAGAATCCAAATCAGCTAGAATACATCTAATACCTTATTTATAAATATATTGAAATTAAATGGTCTGATCACTTATTTTATAAATTATTTGAAATAAGATAAGAATAATCTATAATATCCTTCAGCTGTAAAAATATTTGTAAAAACTCGACAAAATGATAAAACTTAAAATAAAGTTAATATATAATTTTATAATATGCATTATTAATCAAAAATTTTTACTTACTTAAATAATAATTAGAATCATATGTATTAATTTCAAATTCATTTATTTCACCTTTTACCTGCTTAAAATTAACATCAATTTGAAACCACTCAAGTGTAATTAATTTTTAGCTTATTCAGCAAGCATATATAATAATTACTTGACTATCATTATAAAGATCTAAAAATAATAAAATAGTTATTAAGAATAAATATATTAAATTAATATATTTTAAAAATTTACTAAGTTTCTGAACATAATTTTTTAAATCAGAATTTGTATTTAACAAATTATAATAAACATTCATAATATCTTGTTCAAATGAATGCAAAGTTTTATATGTTTGTTTACCAAATAATGTAATTTATCAATATTATTAAGTGATATATGAATTTTAGATAAAGTTTTCTTATTAAAATAGGCTTTAATTAAGTTACCTATTAATTTATTTATTAAAATTATATTAATAATTACAATTAATAATTAATAATAGCAAATAAATAATGATTATTAGTATTTATTACCTGATAATAGAGATCTTGAAGTAACTATATTATCTTCATAAATGGTTTGTTTAATTAAAGATTATAAATTACTTTTAATTTCTGCTGAAGTTCTTTCTGATGCTAATGGTAAATGATTATGAATTCCAATATATATCAAGACAATAAAAAGACAACTAATAATATTGTTAGGAATAATTTTTATAAAACGTGTTGAACAAGATTTTTGAATATTTCTTCATAAACAATCATTTCAATATCATTTAAATGAGATAAATCTTAAAAAAAATCATTTTTTTTTAGTAATTTGAAAAATTTACTGTAATAAAAATAAAATTTAATATATTATTATATATTTTGTATCTACAACTTTTAGGAACTATCATAATACATTTTACTGTTTCTTAAATTGATAAATATTAATTTTTAAAACTCAAATAATAATAAATAAAAGAAAAAATAAATACTTACATTTGCAGCATCCATAAATAAACTTTAAAACATCAATTTATTCTTGTTTAATTTTAATAAATTGATGCTATTTTTCACCTTATTTATATTTTATATATTCAATAAAATAGCATACAACATTTATTTGATAATTAGTAATTTTTCTAATACGAAGACTACTATCATAAGATATATTATTTTGTTTAAATTTGTAACTATTAACTTTAGATGCTAAATATAAACTAATAAATAATTAAGTTAGAATAGATTTTATAAGATTAAAGTAAATTAATAAATTTATGTATATGTTTTAGCTTCCTTACTATTATTATCATCTTGTTGATTATATTTTTGAAAAGACTTAGAATCAAAATTAATATTATAATGCTCTTGATTAATTAATTCAGGATCTGTAAACTGGTAATACTTAATGCTTTGATATTTTCTATCATTCTTTTTAACAGATATTCTACCAAAAAAGGTATTCATAGTACTACCTGCACTATTGATTGAACACTGGATCTTATATTATAATAAAAATTTTAATAATTAAAATTTATATTTTATT